TGGTCTCTAAAGATAACAATATTAAATTCTTGGGTATTATACTAGACGAAAACTGTAATTGGAAACTACACGTAGAAAATGTCTGCAAGAAATTAAATAGATTTGTGTATGCACTTAGGCAACTACGCAAAACGACAAATGAAAGCTCAGCGCTATTGGCATATCACGGTTATGTGAACTCTGTGTTAAGGTATGGCCTGTTGTTGTGGGGCAATTCATGTGATATAGACAGAGCATTCATAGTTCAGAAAAAATGCATTAGGGCTATATGTGGAGTAGGACCATTAGAGACATGCAAACCGCTTTTCATAAAGCTGAGCGTTATGACTTTGGCATCTCTGTATATTTTTGAGATTGGTATGTTTGTAAGAAATTATAACTTGTTTAATAGAGTGAATGAAGATAGTAAGCATTTACAACGAGATGCATCCAAACTAAAAATGGATAATTGTCGCAGTACTCTTTATGGCAAGAATTGTGCAATAATGGCAATTAGAGTATATAATAAAATTCCTCGATCTATTAGAGAACTACCTTTGCGTCAATTTAGAATTAAGTTGAAAGCATGGCTAATTGAAAAATGTTTTTACAGTATTAAAGACTTCATTGACTATGGAATTGTAGAACGAAATAGATTTTAATATTATGACATGTAATTTTACAGACATAATGTATTTGACATAATGTATTTTGCCTTGACATGTATTTAAAAAATTAATTTGACATTTTGGAATCATTATTTTGACATTACGTAATAATTAATCAATGAAATTGGATTTATATTCTATATTATATAAAGTGCCTACTATAAACAAACATTTGCATGCCTGGAAAAGGTGGAATACACTGTACTGTTGAAAATTAGACTAAGATCCATTGTATCACATGTTCCTGCGAATAAATTTCTTCTGTGTGCAACTCTGCCTGCCTCTTCGGGAATAAAAGGCGTGATGTTATGTTATGTTATCTTTACTCCGTTTTTTTATGGAATAGGAGGCAAACGAGCCTACGAATCACCCGATAGTAAGCGATCAACGTCGCCTATAGACACTCGCAACACCAGAGGAGTCACAGCTGCTTTACCGGCCTCTTAAAAAGGAATACGCTCTTTTCTTGAAGGTTTGAAGGTCGTATCGGTTCTGAAACACCGCCGACGACAGATCATTCCACAATTTTGATGTGCGAGGCAGAAACCTACGAGATAAACGTTCATATCAAAAAGTTAGAAGATCTTTAAAATGAGGGTATAAATATTGCTCCTACAGATACACACACTAGTACACTGTGCCTTATGTCTCCTGCGTTATACACTAATCTAATTGAATCTAACCGCTGTGATGGAAATCGACCTGGAGGCTTTATAGTCTAATTGTATTGATGTCTATGTATGTTCTGTGTGCACTTGTAATTATACTAAGATTAATGACTACCATGACTGCTTTGTTGATTGAGTCGTGGTAACAAGAGTTACTGGTGATTTAAAGCCTATTTTGGGGTTCAACGAATTACTATTAGTTTGTTCTGTTATCAAAATTCTGCTGGTATCCATAGATCTTTGTTCTACTGTGCTGTGCGTACTGCTAGGGGGTGGAATTCATTGCCAGAGTCTGTGTTTTCTGAAGGTAATCCGTTCTTCAATCTGTAAATCGGTTCCTAACACAAAATACTTCTAAGCATCTAGCTTAACTGCTTCTACTGCCTCGTTGGCCGAGTGGTCGCAAGTACGACTGCTGGG